GATTTAAACACTGCTTCAACACTTCCTGGTCTTGTCATGGAGGAAAATTACTTTGTGTGCTGCTTCAGGGGGTGTTGTGTGCCCACATTAGAAACTCTTAGCTCATCTGGAACCTTTGTCTTTGCTCATATAAAGACAAAGCGACAACCATTAAATTATCTGATAATATTTAATATTTAGTTTCAAATTATATCTTCTGACAGCAGGTGCAAACCTTACTATTACCAAAGTCCCTGGGCTTTCTGATCTGATCTGTGTGATCTCGACAAGGTCGCCCTGCACGTCTTTTAGTCCCTTATAATAATAATAAAAAAAAAAATCTCTTTAATGGGAGAATGAAAACTTAGATCCCCTGGTTTTGAACAGATCACCAACAGCACAGTAAGAGTACACAAGGCGCAAGGTGGATGTGCTCACCCAGCTGTGGAACCATTGGTTAAGATGAAGCCAAAGCGGTCTGTCTCCGGTTCAGATCCAGAGCTGTCCTCTTCACTGAGGTTCTTCTGGGCTGGACTCGAAGAATTCAACATCTTAGCTAAAGAAAAGAGGATGGGCTCGTCATCCAGTATGCAACCGATGAGGATGTGTGCGTCAGAGATGTTTAAAATCTCAAACATCCAAGATGGTAAACAGCTTAACCCCACTCTGCAAACGTTTCTGTGCACGTTTTCACCCTCTCTCTCTTATTTGACTCGGGATCTATGAAATCTGCATTTTCCAAGTTGAGAATGAGAGTAAAGAAGTGTACCAAGCCCCCCAGCCCCCGATTTTAAGTCATAAACATAACCACAGCTGTTAAAGCTTTTAAAATATACATTTAAATGTGACTACCTTTTACATTTCCGTCCTGTTTGATTAGTTGGCTGCTGAAGAGGTGAAGTGATCCTCCAGTGATGGAAGAGGAAGACAAACTTCCTCTCTCTCTCTCTTGCTTTCTCTCATATGCTCTCATTTGTTCACCACGCCTTCATTTCTCACCGTCACAAATGCAGTTTTCACATAAACTTCCGCGTCACAAACAATGACGATAAAATTATGGAGTGGTTTATTTTTATTTTTATTTTTTTTGACTGTCATGAAAATGCCGTTAAACTGCTTAAATATGATTCATCAGTCATCACATATAAGTGATAATTGTGCAGTTGGGGCTTTTCTGTCATTTATAGGACTTCCTAATTGCGGGGGGGGAAACAAGAAGGCCTATGCGTACTTTAGGAAGCCAGGTAAATTAAATAACTTGTTACTTTCAATGGCAGGTAAAATAATGTTGCGATTTCCTAGGTGACGGTGAATACAACATCAACGTGGAGGCCTTGAATGCAGCATTAATAGCATTGCACAGTTTAGGGACTATTGCCTCCTTAGTGTTGAGCATCATAAACTTGTGCCAGTGGTAAGTCTAAAAGAGATTTACATTAGTAATGACGCAAATTAGCTAGCATTGAGAATAGGCTATGTTCATCTTATTGTCATGTTAGCTCCATTATACTAAATTACCGTAAATTAACTGGCTAACATGGTTGAAAAGTTGCTGACCGATGAGTTTACCTTTATGAGGAATGCTTAGCGCATTAAAACATTTTTCATCTGAACGGAAATATATAAAAACTAAATAAAGCTTAATTAAAGAAATTAGCTTGGCAGCATTAGTGTACCAGAGCCTAATTTTGCTAACTGTTATGCTATTTGAAAGGAGGCGTTCAGGTGAATCGTGTAGACTGTCTGTTGGAACCAGCGGCTGGGTTAAAGACTTTATCCTGTCATTGGTCAGGACAGCTGGTCCTTCATGTGTCCGAAAAACACAGGTAGTTCAGATTAAACCTCTGTGGTGGATTGTTTTTTGATCGTATACGTATTTTTATACTAGCACCGATACAGTAAAGGCATCGACTGATTTCTCTCTGGTTTTACATGTTAAGAAATACTAAGGTCTTTATGTAATGTCCCTGCTTATAGGTTTTTCAGCTGATCGACTTTCCTGTGTATTTTACGATTTTACACGGCGAATACTGGTCAATAATCGAGGGATAATCCGAGAGTGCATTTCTTCCGATTCAAACAGCGTCCCGTGAACGTAGCAAATCGCTAACGTAATAGTTGGGATTTGGGGCGCCAGATTACAGGATGACTGGGATCAACTGGCAGTCTGTCTCCCTTTTTTCACTCTTCTCTTGTTGTAGAGAAGCTTTTCTGGGTTAATACGACATTTATAAAAATATTTGCTGCAATATTGGCTCCACTGAGCGAACCCTTTACAGTCAGGTGAAAAGGGAGTGTTTTACGGGACTTTGCAGTAACCTGAAAATTATGTTCCTGATGCAAGAAAATGAGAAAAAGAGCGCCCAATTTAAAAAAAAAAAAAAAAAAAAAAAGTCCTACTAGCTTCAAGAAAAGGGAGGTATTATTGAGGGAAAAGAATGGGATCTCCAAGAAACAGACAAAAAGAATCAGCAGATGCAAGTAAAGCCTGGTGAAGCTCTGGGGGGGGAGGGGGGGGGAAAGAAATCCTCCAAGAGAAGAAACAACAGGGCATAAAACAGAGAGAAATGCAATGCAAACTCCAAGACATGGAGATAAAATACAGAGTGCTGAAAGCAAGGTGTGATAAGAGACTGCACACAAATGTAGAGTTTCTTCAAGAGAAAAGGTTAAAGGAGATAAAACAGAAAGACATGGATTGCAAGCTTCAGAACATTGAGAAACACAACAAAACAAGTAATGCTTGAAGTTCTGGAAAAAAATAAGTATAAAAACAAGTGTAAAAAACAAGTGTAAAAAATATAGGTATAAAATAAGTATAAAAATAAGAAATGGGTAATAGCTGCATGTGTGCTTGTGTGTGTGTGTGTGTGCGTAATATGCATACTTTACTTGTTGGATCCAAATCCCAGAATACATTTGGCATAAATGACATAAATCTCCCCTTTGATCATTGATCAGTAAACCTCACTGCATATAAATTCTGAAGTCTGATATAATTTCATTAGTAAAGCTGCTCAGATGGTTAAATGTTGAACTTTGTTGCGATTGCTTTTCTCAGAATCACTAACCCCCGTTTTGATTTATTTTTGCAAGTTGCTGATTTCACACAGGTCCACTGCTGAAACCTTCTTTGAGTTTTTCATTCAACAACAATAGTCTCAGGCAATAACTATGTAATTACACTTAGTATGCGACAGTACATAAATGTACATAATGAAAATGTTTACTCTTTAGCATATATTAACTCCTGGACGTAAAATAAAATATACAAAAGAAAAAACTCTGATTTTAAATCACATTTCAGATCACCACAGTAGGATATCCACAATGTAGGATTCAGGCATTTGTTTTAGTTCAACATCACAATCATTCTATGAGTAGTTTACAGAGCCAGTAGTTAACAGCAGTAACTTCAGCTGCTTCAATTCATTGGCATTAGCAAGCATTCCTTTATACACAGCATTTCAGTCAGGTTGAGGTCTGGACTTCCATGCTGTAGATTTGCTGCTGTGCTTGGGGTCATTATCCTGTTGCATGGCCTAATTTAGGAGAAGCTTTAGGTGTCGGACAGATGGCCTCACATTTCACTCTACAAAACTCTGACATACGGAGGAGTTAGGCACCTTGCAGGTGCCTATCTTTCGTGGCTACAAAACAAGCTCAAATCAGAAACCTTGCACCAGCATGATTGAACAGTTGGTTTGAAGTGTTTGTGCTGTGTTTGAGTTTTGCTGAAGGTAGTGCTGTGCAATATGGCCAAACCTCCACTTTGGTCTCATCTGTTAAAAAAACTGTGCTCCAGAAGTCTTCTTCAAGGGCAGCTTTACCAACTTCAACCATGTCGTCTTGTTCTTTTTAGAGAAGAAGCTTCCTCCTAGCGGCCACTACTAACAAGCCACAGTTGTTCAGTCTTTTTCTAATTATACTGTCATGAACTTTAACATTTAACATGCTATCTGAGGCCTGTAGAGGCTCAGATGCAGCTCTTGGGTATTGTGCAGTTGTGAATTTCTTTTTTCACGTTTACTCTGAGAATCTTCATTCTTCTAACTATTCTTTACTCTTTTAAAAGCTTTCTCTGCTCAGATGTCTGCAGCACTGAGTCTACGTCTTCTCCACTGCTACTCCAAACAAGGTACTAATGCAGGTGTCATTAACACAGTAATATTTAAGTGCACAAAATATTCAGATCACACGTGTATGTCTCTCCAGGTACATTTGGATATGGCTGCGGTGCAATTCGCCCGCTGAGTCTCAGTGTGCAGAGAGACGGCTACAGTGAGTACACACACCAAGAGCTGTACATATATATGAATCTCCAGTGCAGTGACCACATCAGCATGCCAAATTTGTATTTACTCTTCTACTCCTCTCTCCTTTTATTCTTCTGTCAGAGTATGTAAATGCTCAGGAGCTGCCAACAGACATGAGATCCATCACTGACCGGGCTGCCACAACCCTGCTTTGGACCGAGCTCTTTAGAGGTCCCGTTGATTGTGTTTTCTGTGCTGATAGCCTAGATTTGTAGCCTGTAATGCTCCATGTCACAAAGCTCAAATCATCTCAAACTGGTTTCTTGACTGCAACAATGTTCACTAAACCACCACCGAAATGACCTCCACAGTCACGAGATGTCAGTTTAACAGCAAATTTGGGATGTGATCCATCAGGAGATTCACAATGTGAATGTGCAGCTGACAAACCTGCAGCAACTGTGTGATGCTATCATGTCTATATGGACCAAAATCTGAGAGGAAAGGCTCCAGCACCTTGTTGAATCTATGTGAATAGAATTACAGCAATTCTGATGGCAGAAGGGGCTCCAACCCAGTTCTACCAAAGTGTATCTATATAAAGTGCCTGATTTGTTTATCTACTGTTATTAATCATGGCCAGAAATTAAGTTAATGAGGTCAGTATACATCCATCTTATTCATATGAATTAAAAAACTCAGGCTTCACACGCCTTTAAACAGTACATTCCTCAGTACAGGTGAGTAATTGACCTCTTTTTAGCTAACTCAAATCTTGCAAATCAATGTGTGTCAGAGACAGTGGGCCCTTTAAGTTTTTTTTTAAATTTTTAATTATTATTTATTTATTTATTTTATTCTTTGCCTTCACGCAGGTTTGGCAATGACCATGAGTTATCTGTTCCGTGAACCTGCCACCATCAACTACCCATTTGAGAAGGGTCCTCTGTCGCCCCGCTTTCGTGGGGAGCACGCCCTCCGCCGCTATCCTAACGGAGAGGAGCGCTGCATTGCCTGTAAGCTTTGTGAGGCTATCTGCCCTGCTCAGGTAAACGCATACACACACAGTCCCTTTTATTATGATAGTTGTGTTTTGGTTTTTTGTTTTTTTTTGACATGTTGAGGTTGTCTAGAAGATGTACTGAAGTACAAACAAAGCGTTATACGGAACGAGAAAAATGAATGACATCACTTTGACATGGCATAGCTGTTAGCCATGGGTGATCAGGTTTGAGGGTTTTTAGAAACTGATGGTTTGGCAGCGGCAGTTCTCTGGGACTGATAAAAAGACATTGAATAACCGCTTTTTCAACCACGGTAAGAAAAGAAGAGCATTTCTGAAAACACAACATGTTGAAACCTTGAAGCAGACCAGTCACAGCAGCTGAAGGTTTCCAGCTGAGAACAGGAAACTGAGGCTAGAGTGGGCACAAGTGCAATAGTGTGGCAGATATTTTTGAACACATTTACCGCTCATTTAAACATCACCTTCTATCCGAGTATTGTTGACACAAATAACTTCGATAATCCCCAAATCTCACCAGAACTGCCTTGTGCTCTCATGTGGTTTCAAGTGCTTCTAAGCTTCTAAGCACCTTGTTGCATCTGTAGTACTATGAAAAAGTCTTCAGTGAGCCCTCATTGATTTCTATTTTGCTTCAGACCAGCAGGATTTTCTTGTAATTTATTAAAGAGCTCTTCAGCAATGGCTTTCTTAAGGTCTTTTAAAGTGTTTCTGTGTACATTGGCTGCTTTTTCCCTTATTTTCGATGCACTCTAGTCCTGTACCTAACCACTTTCTGAGGAATACTTTTTTTCTTAAGCCACTTAGCACTCATGAATGAATCATTCAAGACTAAAAAAAAACACCTAAGGATGAGCCGTTGCTGTGCCTACAGCTTACACATAAGAATTTAGCAAAGAATCCATTTTAAATTGTGTCATAAGACACTTTTTATATCCGGGAAAGATCTGAGACAGGACCTAAGAAATGCATCTTGCTCTACACTCTATCCATCTACTGTTCACCAAAACCTGACCAAAAATGGGCTCAGTGGTAGGGTGTCTGTCAAGAAACATTCTTGAAACCAGATTATTGTTTTGGAGCTACCAGTGGATCATGAATTGCTAATCATTCAGGATGTTTTGGTTCTATGAATACATGTATATCTCAAAAGAAAGAACAAAAACTTAAAGTTTAAACTATTGCTTGATGGGAAAACATAGACTGTTGGAACATTTCATTATTAGCAGGGATAGTATTAAGGAATGCAAACAAAGAAAAGAGGCTGAGGTATGCCAAGTTAATCGGGAACTGAAATCAGGGGCAAAAGGTTTGATGGAGTGATTGCTCCATATTTAGTCTAAATTGTCATCATGACATGCAGAGGAGGTCGGAAGAGAGCTACAGCAGTGAGTGTCTACACACGGTGAAGGCTCTGTCATGGTTTGGGGCTGCCTTTAAGCCAAAGGTGTTGGAGATCTGGTCAAAATGGATGTAATTATGAACCCAGAAAAGTATAATCAGATTTTGATCTGATTGGCTTCATTTTTCAGCATGGTAATTATCCCAAGGACGCTGCCATTCAGTAGAAGCATACCTAGATAGTGTTCCACTCTGTACGTTTCTGTCAGTCATGGATCGGCCTCCCCAGAGCCTGAACCTCGACATTATTGAAGCAGCGTGGGATCATCTAGATAGAGAACGGAACAAAAGCCAACCAACATCCAAAGAAAAGCTTAATGGCTCTGAAGACGCCTGAAGAACTATTCCTGACAACTGCTTAAAGAAATTATATGAACACTGCCTAAGAGAGTTCAGGCTGTGCTGAAGAATAAATGTGGTCAAACTAAAATTGTATAAAATTCTCTACCCAATGTGGTGTTGCACATATTTTAAAAAAAATCACTGTACATATTTCACATTTTCCAGAAGAAAACATGGGTGAGAGTGAGACAGTTCTGAAGGTAAACGGGGGTGTAATGTCTCTTCACTCAGCAGCTGTTTTGAAATACCTCAATTTGGGCACTTATGCTAAAACATTATCTAGATTATGTATTATTTATTTGTTTGTTTGTAGTCAGTTCTCAAAATGTCTGTAAAATGAATGTTGCTGATATTTGAATGCTTCCTACTGTTGCGCCAATAAACATGATGCTTCCCTTTCCTTTCTCTATTGATCTCAGGCTATCACTATTGAAGCTGAGACTCGAGCCGATGGCAGCAGGCGGACCACACGCTATGACATCGACATGACCAAGTGCATCTACTGCGGCTTCTGCCAGGAAGCCTGTCCTGTTGATGCCATTGTTGAGGTAAAAACAAGTGTCCTCCAAGTTTGATGAAGCTGAACAAGCAAATGATAATGTGGGAATCTTTCACTGTCTTTACTCTAGTTCAGTACAATAAATTTACAACTGAAAAACTCCACTATTCTACCCAACCCTCCTTCAAAACAGACAGTTAATGTCTTTAAAAAAAAATTGAATTCCTTATTCAGGGTCCGAACTTCGAGTTCTCCACAGAGACCCACGAGGAGCTGCTATACAACAAAGAGAAGCTACTCAACAACGGAGACCGATGGGAGGCTGAGATAGCAGCCAACATACAAGCAGACTATCTGTACAGATAGACTCACTGTGGGAAGGTCCTGTATGTCCTCCTGATATGCATTTAAAGAGATTACTGGCGGTTTTACAGTTATGCCAGCGGGTTCCGAGTGGTAAAGCCTCATACACTGAGGAAATTCTATAAAAAAACGCACAAATTGTATGCCTCTTGGGTGTAGTTGTACTTTTTTGACGTTGAGCTGTAGCACGTCAAAGCTTGCAATATAAGAGTATATTATTTGAAATGTTTGTTTTAAAGATATTGACAGACCTGTTGCAAATTTAACTAACCGAATTTAAATTAAAAGGGAAAAACCTCTGAAACTGAGAAGATGTGTTTTGTGTTTTTTGTCTTTTATATTATATCCAAAACTTGACTCTTGTTGGACCAAATCCCTTATGTTAAGTGAGTTAATGACTGTGTTTTTAATGGTTTATTAGGCTATTGTTAGATGGTTGTAGCCTCCATTGTAACTATTGCCGGCTGCAGTTGTGATGCAAATAAATTACTTTTAAATTTTTAGTCAATGGAAAAAATATATATATAATTAAATATTCAGGGTTCACTGGATTATCTGCGTTTTCGAGTTGCTTAATGAATAAATAAAAAAAACTGACCAACTGACTTTCAACTATGTCATTCTAGTTTTCGAAATTAAAACGCACTTGTGTTTTTGAAGCCAGCTGTGGTAAACAGATGGTAGTTATAGATATTGATTATTATTTTTGTAGTACACAAAGAAAGAAAATAACTTTTCATTCACTGACTTTTGTGTGGTAAGTGTACCAACATTACTTGGTCTGACCTACGAAGCTTTGGCTAACACTAAACATTTTGGGTATTGGGCTCTTTTGTCTGCCGCATGTGCATCCAAAAGTTGTTCAAGGAAACGAGGACGTTGCTGCTATCCTGTGTTTTTTTTTTTTTTTTTTTTTTGACAAATTACCTCAGAAATAAACAGCTCGTAACCATACCCAGCTGCCCAGCCTCAGCTGCTTGTCTGTAGTGGAAAATTATGCTTTTCTAGCTACATGTGAATGTCTTTTAGGGTTGGATAAGTGTTTTAAATAAAGACTGAATGCTGAATCACGTTCAGTTAGGACCGTGTTGCTTCATGATGCGTTTTTGCCGCTGCAAGGGTCACATGATAAGGGCGGAAACTGACTCATAGTCCACGCTGAATCTCCCGCGAACGCAGCCATTTACTCTTTCCTCTCTTCGAAGTGTTACCGGTGAGTCTCTGAATTCCTCTCACAATGCGGGCTATCATGTATTTCAAGTTTGCATTCGTTGGGATAAAAAGTCAGTTAAAACAATGGGCAACTTTAACTTTGCGATTTTGTAGCTGTATCCGCGTGAGGAATGGGGCAGCTGGGGAAGGCCGGTGGTTTTTCTTATGCGGCTAACTAGCTGTTAGCTCGATGAAAAGAATGGCTTCCATGCTGTGCTAGCTAACAGGTTAGCATGCACGGCTAACCCTCATTTTTTTCTGCTTTGTTCTTGGGACTCGCGCGTATTCCTGTAAATACATATTCAGTATTTTTGGCAAAATATATTGTGGATGCGTGGAGTTGCATTTATGTGTAGAGAATTATTTAGGCTGGGTTTGACTTGGAGTGTAGCGTGGAACACATTAGATGGGCTTCCAGTCGGATTGTTTCAGTCGAACAAGAAAAAGTGCGCTCGCCCGTCGTGTGGCGCACTCACTCTAACGTTTTTAGCTTTCCTAGCTAGCAGCCGTTAGTATTGAAATACGCATTTAGAAGCGCGCTTTGGAATTTTCGATTGAACGCAAATACACATTGGACACACAACATGAATTAAACCTTTTTCCACAACGTAGCTGCACCGTTACACGTTTACTTGTTACGTGTGCGTGAACGTTAGCTTGGATGGAAAATGCTAGAAGTTATGGCTATGTAACAAGCTATGGAGTTTAGCCAAACGATCAAATCGTAGAAAACTGCTCAAAGGACCAAAATAACATCTCAACAAATCATAGCTTATGTCATATTTTATCTTCTTGAAATGCCATTTAAAGTAGTTGCTAGCACTGCTAGTTGGTGTTGACGGACAACGTGCTAATCAACCATCCCGCCTCGTTTTGTTTAACAGAAAAGTCGCAACCACGGCGGACTCAATGGCACAGTGTGTTCCGGTGGCGGTGTTTAAGGTAAGTGCTTACTATCTAACATAAATTGATGTTCCATTTCTCAGCCTTTTAACTAAATGAAGCACCGCTATCTGCTAACAACGGTCAGTGTGGTGAACCAGTACCAACCAGTCTAGACTAACTGTACGTTCTGCATCGCAGTTGGTGTTGGTAGGAGATGGAGGCACCGGGAAAACGACTTTCGTGAAGAGGCATATCACAGGAGAGTTTGAGAAGAAATATGTTGGTAAGTACTCGCTTGCCAGGAAGGAAATCGGCTCATTCTTTTAGGCTGGATGTGGTAATAGATTTGAAAGCAGGATGTAAGAAGCCAAATGTGTTAAATGGAACTACAGGGAGCAACATGTCCTGCATGGCCTTTATCTCATCACCATTTACACCTTCATTCTCCTTATTCATTATGTCTTTGCTTGAAATTTCAGCTACTCTTGGAGTAGAGGTGCACCCACTGATTTTCCACACCAACAGAGGAGCGATCAAGTATAATGTGTGGGACACAGCTGGTCAGGAGAAGTTTGGAGGCCTGAGAGATGGCTACTACATTCAAGGTGCTCCTTGCATCCTTCGCATGCTGCTCAAGTGTCACGTTTTTAAAATTCATGTACCTTGGCTTTAGCTGAACAATACATTAATGCTTTCTTGCTTCCTCAACAGCTCAGTGTGCTATCATCATGTTCGACGTCACTTCTCGAGTCACCTATAAGAACGTGCCCAACTGGCATCGTGACCTGGTCCGTGTCTGTGAGAACATTCCCATTGTTCTTTGTGGCAACAAGGTGGACATCAAAGACAGGAAAGTCAAAGCCAAGAGCATTGTGTTTCACCGCAAGAAGAACCTGCAGGTAATAACTGCTTGCAAAAATGTGTATTTTTGAATTGTAGAATAGACTTTTGAGTTTTGTCATTTCTAACTGCTGCAAATTGTTCTACCCGCAGTACTACGATATTTCTGCCAAAAGTAACTACAACTTTGAGAAGCCTTTCCTGTGGTTAGCAAGGAAGTTGATCGGTGATCCCAACCTGGAGTTTGTGGCAATGCCTGCCCTTGCTCCCCCAGAGGTCCAGATGGACCCATCCCTTGCTGCTAAGTATGAGGAAGAGCTTCAAGTGAGTATCACTGTACAGACTCATTTGTCTGATTTGGATGAATATATTGTAAATTTTACTTGCGCATCTTCTAAATGTGGAACAATCTGAAACATGACTTTATTCTTCCATATCCAGGTTGCATCACAAACAGCACTCCCAGATGAAGAAGATGACCTCTAACCTGTTACCTAGATTTGTCCCTCCCTCCTCCCCCACCTGTGGACAGGAAGTCGTTGGAGTTTTGCCCCCTTACTGTAAAATCCCTTTTCAGATTTTTTTATTTTTGAATTTTTTTTGTTTTAAAACTTAAGTAAAAAAGAAAAAAAACTTGGTGGAAAAGTTGTGGTTCTAATTTCACTGTATGACACACACCCACCCTAGTGTTGTTGTTGGCATGGCAACGTGCTACTCTTCATCGTTGAGCACCCTCCATTGCACTTACCCAGCTCACATAATGCTGTTGTACGGTGTACTGGAAGCACTAAGGGGAGTAAACTTTGAATAAAAACATTCTCGGTATAACACGGCCGTGTTTGTTGTGATTTGCCTGCACGCCAACGATTTCAGGTCACAGGGAGCGCCTCGTAGTTAAAAAGTGGCTCTAGCATATTCAAGCATCTTGGTGAGGATTATTTGATGCACAATACAGGTTCCTGAAACTCAGATGGCTACAAGAAACTAATAAAATTCAGCATTTACTTTTGTGCTCTCCTGCAGTCACCAGTAAATGTTTCATATGGAATAAGTCTCATGCCATAGCTTAGTCTGCAACATTACCCACAGTAGGTCAAATACAACTAGATAATGCTATACTGACATTTGTCCAAACTTACTAATTATTACTGTTAGAATCAAGCGGATACATGGAAACCTGAAGTAGACAATGATAGCCTGTGTCTTGGTGAGCCTTTATAAAGTGTGGTAATAATGAATGCTTTGCTTTCAGGTACAGCTAAAGGAGATATACAAACCATTTAATCTTAAGAGTGTGCCATTAAATTGACAAAGCATGCAGACTGTAGGGCATTATGGGGAAAGAACTGCTCCTTCAAAGCTTTGAAAGGCACCAACTACTTTAAATATTTGTATCAGATAACATTGTTTCCAGTTAGATGAATCTTGAGTTTAAGAATGCAAAAGCTGGCTATTGACTGTGTTTCATTGGCTTCAGATTTCACTTTAAAATATAACTGATTATAAAGCTTGATATAGCCAAAAAGATCTAAGGGATGGGCATGAATGTCATGGCAATTTGGGGTTTTAATGACTTCTTTGACCAGTCCTTTTTTTTTTTTTTTTTTTTGATAGAGTGAATGTACAGCATACATCTTTAATGACTTAACAAAACAAGAATTGGGTGCATGAGTGAGAATTTATTTTGAATTTACTGCAATCCATACAGGGTCAAATGCATACACATATATTGCCATTAATATTTTGGTTAAATGTTCCTTAGCAAGTTGCCTTTTGAACAGATGATGTGAAATCATCCCAACCTGGAAAAAGAGCAGGTCAAAGAAATCAAGAGTAGATTTCTGAATCAGTACTCTGTTATAGATAAGCTTCTCAATAATTTGTTCCTTATTTTTGCCCTAGTTTACACCATGTTTGCATGGAAGTATGTTCAACAGTGCTGTGAAAAAGTATTTGCCCTTCCCAGTTTCTTAGTATTTTAGCATATATGTCACACATGTTTTAGATTATCTAACAAACTTTAGTATTAGACAAAGATAGCCCATGTAAATACAAAATGCAGCTTTTAATTGTTGATTTCATTTCAGAGAAAATGTTATCCAATCACACAGGATCCTGTGTGAAAAAGTAGCATCCCTAAACCTAATAACTGGTTGTGCCAATCTCAGGAGCAAGAACTGCAATCAAGTGTTTGTGATAACTGATAATGAGGCTTTCACATTGCTGTGGAGGAGTTATGGTCCACTCTTTGCACAATGGTTTTATTTCAGCCACACTGGAGTGTTTTAAAGCCTGAAAGGCCTGTTTAAAGTCACGCCAAAGCATCTCAGTGAGTTTTAAATCCAGAGTTTGCTTCAGCCGCACCATAATC